TACATGCGGTTTAATTAATAATACTTGAATTAGTTAAAGAATCAACAACTAATCCTTCAGTTTTCCGCCTTTAAAGGAAGTACATTTACTTCCATAAGTACAGGTTAACGAATTAGTTATTAAATAAATACAAGTTCTTTAGAACATCAAATCATTCTAAGCGGGTAACCCACATTCAAGATCATGTATGATCTAAACATGCCCATGGTTAACTCAAAAGTGAGTTTTGTACAACGTCGGATCACTTTAAGTAGCCCACGTTCAAGAACACATATCAATTTAATGATGCTTAACTCAGCAGTGAGTTCTGCATGTACAACATCAGACCACTTCAAAGTGGCCCACGTTGAAGGAGATGTATTACTTCTATATGATCTAACCATGCTTTACTCCCTATATAGGAAATACAATTAATTCAACAACTCTGCGACAAAGTCTCTAAACACCAAAATCCCCATGACCAAGCCAGTCTGAAACCATCTTAGTCTATAGCTCGGAAAGATCGTTAACCTTAACATATACCAAAAACGGTCCCAAATCCGTACAAAACTTTTCTGAAGTAAAAGTCTCTACCTGCCTTTCTCATTTTTCCACGAAAACGTCATCCATGTAATTGGCGCAGTCGTCAGTGCAAGCGCGTTTCTCCTCTGGGATCCTGGGTTCGATTCTCCCTATTCGGACTCATGTGAAAAGAGTCCGTCAACGCTCTGCCGAAAGTCGTGGGTTTATTCCGGGTGCTCCGGTTTCCTCCCACAGGGAAAGTTGACAGGGTGGGTTAGGATAAACACAGTTAAGAAAAGTAATATCATAATTTGTAAGGGTGAAATAGTCTAGGCTAAGTATGTAATAAATAGGTATAAGTATATAATACATGTATAAAGCGCATTTGATCATAAATCATGACTGCAATAAGAATATAACGAAGAATGATTTTTAAACGCAAAGTACATTTTGATGAGAAATTGGATAATTGTTTCATGAAATTTGATCGCTCTCACTATGGGTGACTTTATCTGTTGGAAGTAACTGACCTTGTCATATAATGCTCAATTAATCGCCACTTACTAAATTGCATAAACAGCCGTAAACTCAAACCAAGAGCCCTGTAGCTAAAGTAAAGGTTTTTCAATCACGGAAAATCATGGAATAGTTCGTTCCGGATGGGTGTATTTCACTACAGTTTCATGGCGTGAGAGAACTTCAAAGCTGCGGTTTTCTTAATTGGGCTCTAATATTGCTCTAATAAGAGATGACCTTTACTGGACCTCTAACCAGAGCAGAACTATAATATCGTAGAGATATATTTAGAAAAAAATTCTAGTAGTATAAGTAAAGTTCGCTTATTTCATCCATTGTTTAAACAAATGCAGTTAGACTTAGGAAAATGTTGACATTTCTAAGAGGAACAAGGTTAATTAAACTACATCTCAATTGTGTCAATATATATACTTGCCACGAAATACTGCTACAACGCTACATGTTCGAAATAATTTTAAAAAGAATGAAAATTACAGCATTTATTCTCTTCAATAACCAGAAATTGACAACCTATATATACTGCTGCGCGAAATACGATTGGTTGCATCATTCTATCAGTAGTTGCCCATAATGGAACTGTGTGGGTGCTACCTATCCACTTGACAGAGTTTGTCAAGAAGTAAAATAACTATTGAAATTTCCCACCTTTTTCGGTTTCCCAGTAGAAAAATGGAATGAGGGCTTAATTTAGACTTTTTAGTGAAACCCATAATTTAATTTGTCTAATTCCTGTATTTCCTATAATTATTGATTTAATTCTCGGTCACAAGGAGAGTAGAATGATTTTTCCTTGGTTTCGACTCTAGTCAGATGGTTGTATATTTTTAGAAATTTTTTTATAGAATTATTTATACGAATGTTAATAAAGTGATATTTCAAACGTATAGACTATAGCGGCGTCCAATAAGCTGTTCGTTCCGGATGGGTGTATTTCACTACAGTTTCATGTGAGAGAACTTCAAAGCTGGTTTCCTTAATTCGGCTGATCATATTGTTCTAATAACAGATGGTCTTTACTGGACCTCTAAGGAGAGCAGAAGAGCAGAACTATATAATACCCTAGTATAGAGAAATAATTAGATATAAAATCTAGTATAAATGAAGTTCGCTTATTTCATCCATTCTTCAGAATACAAGTGCAGTTAGACTAGAGACTATATTTACTCCAAATTAATAGGAAACGATTTGTGGATGAAAATGATTTTGAGTGATTGAGCATCATAACTCAACATAAGAACAGAGAGTTCCCTAAATCATATCAATGGAACTACAATGAATTCATTTCAAGTGCTGAATTTCACTACAAATTCTCACGGGCAGCAGTTGATGGTCAACCTAGGAGATGTTGACATTTATAAGAGCAACAAGGTTAAACAATAAACTTCATCTCAATTGTGTCAATATATACTTGCCGCGAAATACTGCTACAACGCTACATCTTCGAAATAATTTCAAAAATATAATGCAGAAAAATTATATTTATTCTCTTCAATAACCAGAGATTGACAACTTATACTGCTGCGCGAAAGCGCTTAAGGCCTGATTTCTGCACAACGGCAAAATTCTTTGCGAGAAATTATTTTAAGAATTTCGCGCTGCAAAATTAATAAATTATTTTTAAATCCGGTTGGTTGTATCATTCTATTGTAGTTGCCCGTATATTGGCACTGTGTGGGTGTTACCTGTCTAAATCGCAGAGTTTGTCAAGAAGTAAAATAACTATTTCCCAGTGAATTTTCCTACCTTTTTCGCTTTCCCAGTACAGATTTCTCGCATTTCTTCGAGAAAAAATTCGTGGAATGAGGGCTTTAGACTCCTTAGTCGAGAAAAAAATTAGTGGAATGAGGGCTTTGGACTCCTTAGTGAAACCCATAATTTAATTTGTTTACTTCCGGTATTGCCCATGACGGTGCACAATTGTTTAATCAATCGAATAATTATTGTTGTAATTCTCGGCCACATGCAGGGAGAGTAGGATGGTATTCCTTGCTTTCGACTCTTCTCAGATACTTTCATATATTTATCCTCGTGAATATACACAAACTAGAGTATAGTTTTAGAAAATTTTCATCAAATTATTTATAGGAATGTTAATATAGTGATATCTCAAACGTACAGCGGCGTCCAATAAGCTGCCGTGATTTCTTCTCAACTAACTGAAAAGTTCGTGATTTATATCACTAACTGAAAAACAGATCTAAGACACAGAATCTTTATTCTCTGTCTAAGATAAGTATAAGGTAATTTTTGCAAAGTTTGACTATTGACCTTCACCACCGCCCACGTGATCCGGTGGAAAGACACTACCTGGTCTAGTAGCTTAGTTTCGTGTACCCGACGTTACGTTACTGGCGAAAGCAAAATGTACCATTCTAACTTACCACAAAAATGCGGTAATTGTAATAATTAAGTGGGAAACTACCAAGTTTCGAAATTATGTAATTTAATTTATGGTTATATAAACGTGAAGTTTTTGAGTTCGAAATCATTGCCATTGCTGACCTTCACAAGGACAGATTTCCAAAGACAAGAACATATTTTCAAGTCATTCCAGTTTACAAATATGGGTGAGTGTAAATTAAACTTTTCTAAAAAATTTTTTCATGTATCTTGATTCTAATTGCATTCGTTCATTTATTCACTCAAACATATATATTTATATGGTATTGTTATTTAACAGTGGTATTGATATCATTTTCCTAATCTTCACAATATCTGCCAAGTGATATTATCATAAGTTGGTAACAAGAAATGAAAACTATTTTGAGATGCATTCTCTCTTCGAAAGTATAGTAACTTTTTCTCGTAATTTTCAAATTGATGCACAAAATTTAGGTTGATCATTTAACTGTGTCTGAATAGGTTTTTGACTAAAAAGTTATAAAGTACTATAATGGATGTCGAAATAGTTTGTAAATTTGTAATTGCAATTAATCCCTGTAACAATGCCGTAATGCCGGCAAATGAGAATGTCCGTTTTGTCATTAGAGATATTACTACGTATAGACACAGCTCCCACAAACCAATGGGGTATGTCAAGTCTCAGGTACATTACGTCATTTTGTATGCAACAACAAAGTATACTTGACTGTATATTTATGTTTCCATGATCCTCGATCTTCTTGCCAAGGGCAAGGCCAGCGTACCTCAGATCGATGTGAAAATGAGAATTGTTTAAGCAATGAATAAAGCATGAAAAGTGGGTGTTTTCTGATGATACAAATGAATGCATCGATTTATAAGTTATCAAATTTAGTATCAATTTTAGTTGGGCGATATATATGGATCGTCAAGTTTAGCCAAGAAAATCGAAAGTTTATGTAAATCAGGACGAAATCTATATAGCGATACAGCAATTGATTAAACTTTAATTTCTTTCCAATTTTCTTCATGATTGATTAAGGATATTTTATAGAAAGATTAATTAATTTGCCAATTTTCCTCCGTTTCTAAAGCCCAACGCATGCAGTCACCCGACTTTATATGTCTTATATAAACAAGGCTTCCGAGTGAGGAAAGACAATACTAAGGACATGTCATACTCGTGGCATGTCAAAAGCAAGCATAAATTTCTCCTGGTCTTTGCTTATTGATCGACCACGCATTTTTTTATCTTTTCTTGATTATTTTTCTTTTCAAACGTTTGTACATTATACAGTGTAGGCAAGCAGTTGAATTTCGTGTCAATAAAATTAAATATATTAGCATTCAACACTAGTTAGACAGATAAGACCATAATTTTACGATATTGATTGTTTAATATATGTGCTGAGTGATTGTACCGTGTGTGTTTTAAATCCAATCATAAAATACAGGATATAAGTTTTTTGATCATATCGTAGTGCTGAATCGTGTTTGATGAATTGGAAGATTGGATAAAATTAATTTTTTCATCCATGTTCTTTAGATATCAAGATTTTAACTTCAAACACGTTGGGCTGAACATTTTGCTATTGTTTATCATGCTAGCAGTTGTAGAATCTATTCCAGGTAATTCGAAGCTTTAGTTTTTTTTACATATATTTTTGCACGGTACTATAATACTTGAAACAATTCAGACCAATGAATAGATAAATCTGTATTTTAATTTGGTTTCACTCAGCACTAGTGTGTAACAGATGGTGGTGAATCAGCCTTTTCATTTTATGTATTGGTCTTGTACCTAGAAGAAAATAAAGAAATATAGTTTACTCAAACCTACCAATACCTGATTCTTTTGTTTTAGGACCACAAAGAGAAGTGGTTTCAATATACAATGATGACTTTACCACCCCGTCATCCAGACCTCAATATTTCATCGAAGTGTATCGCTGTGTTGAAGTTAATACGGGCGACTGCACTAGCAGTGGACCGTCTGGGTACCCGGTTCCAGAAAGAACGGACGAAATTGAGATAGTGGTTCCGGATATAACAAACAATGATCGGGATCCCGGCGATAAAAAGAAGTTTTTATAAATATGTGGTTTATAATCACACGTCTTGTAAATGTGGGACCTTCAAGTACAGGAACAGTACACTGTATAAAACCTTAACTGACAAGAAAGGTTAGTGCAGCTTACAGTGAGTAAATACCATGCATGTAGTTACCTAAATGAACATGTTTTGTGATTAACTTTCTTTCGTTCTTTAGAAAATTTCTTCTATAGGTTGAATGTTATATAGTCAACCTATCATCATAAAAAAGTTCATAAATATAGGTTGATGTTCATAAAACATGTTCATATATAGGCTAGGTTGATGACAATGTAACCAGGGGACCACGGGAGCTAGATCTCCCCTCATCACTGAGTTAAAACTGCTATACTGAATGTCAAGGTTAGGGAATTGTTACTTGGTCCGCTTGAAAACTCATCTAAAGGCCCACACAGACCGAACGCGAGATCTCTGTCCCGGGTTTTCCTCTCCCACCAAAAAGCAACCATTCCGCCTTAGCCGCACTCCATAGCGAGAACCCGAGCCGCATTAGTCAGCCTTCGACTCAATGGCGTCTCATGTAATCTCAGCTGCAAGGAAAGGTGATTATTACACCGTAACTTTAATCTGTATGAATTTTTCTTGCAGTTTCAAAAGCTTATTTCAATGCGAACTACACGAACAATCCAGTCAATCTGATGCGTTTGTGTAACGTTTGCAACAGTACTCAACCAAGATATAAACTCAATCCATACCATTTCGGAGCTATCCCACCATTTAAATATCGGGCGTACCAACAGTGCTTGCCTGGCTGCGTAGTGGTAACAAATAACACATTAAAAGTTGAAACTGCCATGACATCTTCTGATGGAGTCAGGAAGATTGTCACCCTTTCAAATGATATTTCATGCAAGGCTTATGATGGAGATAGAAATTAAATTACAGTGTAAAACATAAGTAAATACGAAGACCTAGTTCACACGTCGAACTTTTCATGTGCCGAGCTAAACAGGAGCTAAACAATGAGTTTAGGACATTAACGTTAGCCTCGGCTCATGATTAGACTTGCTTCAAGCCTCGCTCTCCAGTTTTGATAGCGTGTTATGAGATCAGTTGTTCCTTTCAAACCATGCACTGATCTCATAATTGACTGGATACGATCCAATTGAAAATAAAACTAATCTAAAAATGGACTGGATAGACCCACTTGAAAATGAAACTGATCTCATAACAACCACCCAAGGTCTCATGCCTGCATGGATAGACTGTATCAAAACTGAATTTGAGAGAGACTTGGAACAAGTCTAGCTCATGATAAGCGCGACGTTTGAACCGAGCATAAATGGTTTTTGACGAAACAAATTAATATGAGCATGTTCTGTGATTGACTTACTCAAATACAAGTGAGAAATGTTTGTAATTCGTTAGTTAAAAAGTTTATTCTTTAGTTTTATTGTGTTTCATTGTTATTCGTAAACCAATCACAGAACTTGTTCATGTCGATGAGTTCAAAATAATGAAATTTTGTATACATACATGCATGTATTAATGATTGATTAATTGATTGAAACATTTTTTAATAAAACAAAACAGTGTAAAAATACTGATAAACTTGTGACTCTCACAATGTAAGGCTAACGCATGTATGTAGATAGATAGATAGGCCTATTCTAAACTAGAAGTCATGCAGAAATGTGAACATCTAGCTAAAATCTTCATGTTTGTGAATGAATATATTTATCTTATTTATAAATAGCAGCTTATATTAGTTTATTTAATATTATATTTATAACATAGATTTCAGTATCATTGTAAGCCTATCGCCCGGATGAATGGTCAACCTCATCGCGTGCTTAGAATTACACGAAGCATATATATTTCGAGTTCTTTTAATTGTATAATTAATTTTCATGATTAAAGAAATTATTTTTAAATAGTTTTATGTGTTTCTCAATTGCGGTATCATTTGTAATTTTCGTAACAATACATGGGAAAACCACAAAGAAAGTCATGAGCGTGAATGAAGAAGCTTGTACCTCTGATACTAAATATCCTGCTCGTTTACGAAAAGCTCACAACTCACAAAATATTAAACAGCAATATGGAGCTGACATCGTAGAACTGATATAACTGATAGACATAGGCTACGCCTTGCTCCCTTGAATCTTAGCTGACAACTCGATCGCAATCTCACAAGCAGTTTTTGGGTATTTTTAAGGGTAGGATTGTTAATTGTAGAGGTTAAAGGAGCAAAACCACATAAAAATCAAAGGCTTTTCTTCAAAAGGTTAATGGAGGAAGGAGGAAGTCAGTTGATCTTATCTGGAATGAATATCTACACTGTCCCGCCTTTTAAAATGACTTTTCAAATTTCGAAACATGGTTGTTTTGAAGTCTGGGAATGTTTCTTGTTGTATTGGAATGCGAAACATGTATTACTGTTTTACTTTGGCATTTTCCATTGGCGGCAGGAGTTGTGGTTCAACGGCGAACAGGAAATGTGTCTACATCTTAGGCTGAACAGGAACCTGGGTAGAAATTCGTTGACTCGGAATGTCAAGTTTTCAAGAATGTGGCATCACGCCTCCTCGGAATTTTTCAACACCTTAATGTCAAACCGGAACAAACTTGATCATGTTACACTTCGTCGTTCCTACATCATCACGATAAACTGACGTCAGAAGATCCCGAACTTAGTCATTTGTCTCTTTTAGTATTCCGCGTTTTCTATCCCCATTCCGTGTTTCTCGATTTCTTGTTTTTAAAATTTCCTTGTTCAAATGTTTTGACGGAAACTGCATCGTCTGACATTAGTTTATCGTGATGATGTGGGTGGGCTAATTGTAACATGATTAGTTTTGTTCCGCGGTTTAACAAGGTGTTGAAAAATCCCACGGAGGCGTGTGACGACATGTCTCACTTCAACTTCTTGTGTGACGCAATTAATTCAATCACACTGCAGCATACTTTAAACATCATGCGACATTTCTCAAACTGAACGGATTAAAAGAACTGAAGCTCTAGGTTTTGAATATTACTTGCATTGTCGTAACGAGTAAACCTATTAATTTAAACCGCATTCAACATCGGTGATCGCTAGATAGTATACTTCAAAATAAGGTTTCCGTTTTTATAACGTAGAAAAAACTATCCTAACGCAAAACTAAACCTTAACCCTAATACTAACCCTAACCTAAACCCTAACCTAACCCTAACTTATTTTAATTATTTTAAAAATTGATATAAAAACGGAAATCTTATTTTGAAGTATACTATCTAGCAATTGCCATTCAACATCATTCAACTCAGTTTAATTGGCAGAGTTTTATTTTTTATACATTACGACGCCTAATCGTGCGTCTGTGAATTTCAGACGACGACCACTCGCTGACATGTACATCGTTGAGATATCCATGGTTTTAATGCTTTAATGAAATACTCCTAAGGAGTTATATTTATACTACACTAAGAGGAGTTATATACTGAAAAACTAGATAATATTTATATTTATTTACAGACCCC